TTTTTTTTGAGACAGAATTTCACTCTTGTTGCCCAGATTGGAGTGCGGCTTGATCTTGGCTCACTGCAACCTCAGCCTCCCAGGTTCAAGTGATTCTTCTGCCTCAGCCTCCTCAGTAGCTGGGATTACAGGTGCCCGCCACGATGCCTGGCTAATTTTTTGTATTTTTAGTAGAGACTGGGTTTCACCATGTTGACCAGGCTGGTCTCAAAGTCCTGACCTCAGGTGATCCACCTGCCTTGGCCTCCCAAAGTGCTGGGATTACAGGTGTGAGCCATCGCACCTGGCTCCCTTTTCTTTATCATTGACGATATTGTTTAAAAGAAAGAAAAAAAATAGGTCCTAACAATATATGTGCTACCCAAAAAATGTGAACATTTAGGACATTATCATAAGTTGCTATGAAAATAACTGAAGCCTTCTTCAGGAGAAGGAAAGAAAATTAGGAAAGTAATGGTGGAGTCCGGAAACTCCCACCAACTCACCTGAGGGGGACTCTGTGCAGCTAAAATGCAACAAAACTGGTTTCTAGTATTCTCCAGGGATTCAGGCTTGAGAAACTTGGTAAGAAGTGTATTTATTTTTAAACATTCAACTTTGGTTCTTCAAAGTAATCTTTAAACATGGGAATATGTTTTCAAGATAGTTCACAGGACATACTTAATGTACTTGGTGAGGTCTTTTCAGGAGCATCCACCTTTGTTAAATAGTAACAAGTGGTTAAGAAAGGGGAGATACAGTTTTATACTCAGAACAGTTTTATGTGCCGTTTTTGTACACAGAGGTGATTCTTTTACTCTACCATTAGTAGAACTTGCATGTTAGGCTGTCTGTCCTAGTATTTGGGAAGTGTTTATGCTTCCTTCTGGGGACCATCTTATGACCAGATGCAGTCTGTCTGTGAGATGGTTAGCCAGAGTGATCAGTGTCTGGGAAGAGTGGCTTTGAGCAGTCAGTACCTTGCTCTTTGTGCATGGTGCATGTCAAGTCAGGAAGCCAAGAAACTGTTGGCATTAAAATCTAGATGCATAGAGATCCTTGCTATGAGTTGTGGATAAGGAGTGGCTTCATCTATCCTCTTGGTGAAAAAGTCCAGGAGCTCCTTTGGAGATTATCAAGTCATAAGCTATGAGCTGCCCTTAATCCTCAGAAGCCTTACAAAAATTGAAATGTACCGCTTCTACCCTTTGAGAAAAAAGAAATAGAAACTCACTTGATGCAGAATGGATATTTATGTTTCTGCTTGGACTGTTTCCATAGCAGCTGATTAAGGCAAAATCATGAAATAGAATCAGTTCTATAAATTGCTTCTTTAAATGTTCTCTGAATTGGCCAGGCGCGGTAGCTGACGCCTGTAATCCCAGCATGTTGGGAGGCCAAGGTGGGCGGATCACGAGGTCAGGTAATCGAGACCATCCTGGGTAGCATGGTGAAACCCCGTCTCTACTAAAAATACAAAAAATTAGCCAGGTATGGTGGCATGCGCCTGTAGTCCCAGCTACTCAGGAGGCTGAGGCAGGAGAATCACTTGAACCCAGGAGGCGGGAGATTGTATCACTGCACTCCAGCCTGGGCGACAGAGCGAGATTCCATCTCAATAAATAAATAAATAAATAAAAATAAAAATTTCTCTAAATTTTGCCTTTAGGAAAAAAATAAAACTATTCAATGACAGCTAGCTGTCACTGGTGCTACCCCAAAGCTTTCCAATCTTTTATGTATTTTTTATGAATGAAGCTGTTGAGGTAGGAAAGTCAAGGTTCATGTAAGAGTATCGTGGTGTAAATATAATGGTTTCACAGCTGTTTGAATTTTTCTTTTCCTGTGCCAGATATAGAATGCAGTCAACCCTTTTTCAGTAACTTATGTTCACCAGTCTCTGCTTTTCTTCTCCCAGAAGGCTTTTCTTAGTGGTTGTAAATGCAAGAATCCTGGGCCCTGTGTTGCAAAGGTGGGTGGTCTGTCAGCACTTTCTGACAAATTGAGTTGATGGATTTAAGATAAGCCTTTGGGGTTCCTGTCAGTTTTCTGGGCTCTGAGGAAGGGTTGGGCCTCCTTTACTCTCAGTGTTTTGAGTATTTTTCAAATGTTTGTAAGTTATCTTGCACGGCTCTAATAAAAATGAAAGCTCTCAAGAATTGGCTTTGGATGGTTTGAAGATCTAGGGGAAGAAAAACAAGTACACCTGAGACCTTCAGTTGGGCTTTTATTTATTTAGAATAAAAAGTAGTTTGATAACCTACCAGAGTTAGTGCTTCTTTAAAAACACTCCCTGAAAAGATGGGGATTCTCCCTTAGGAAAGCCATAAAAGTGATTTCCAATACATTGCTATTGCTTTTGATTTTTAGTCCTTTGGAACAAATGTCTGATGTCTGATGTTGTGTTTTTAGAGCTGTGAAAAAAAGTGTGAAAAAATTTAAGGGATATTACTTAAATGATGATTATCTGGCTGAATTATGTGTGGGCTAGAATCTAGGGTAGTTGTCCACTTCTTTTCTGTTGTCCTGACAGTAAAGCAAATAGTAAGTCATGTCTTGAAAGTGATTTGCTTATTTCATACTGACATCTAAAGACATCAGCCTTCTCTCTGGCAACCCTGGGGATACCCTTCTGCACCATAACTTATTAATGTTTTTTTAGACAAGGCTAAACCCGAATGACTCTATGTATCTCTAGTTTCACTGCTCATATACCAGCTGCTACAAGAAAAACCATGACTTGTAAGTTTGTCTTTAAATTACTCCTAATTGTTAAATTAACTGAAACCCTTCCTGTCTAGGGAGGATTGCTGCTAGTAACGTCAGTTTGCAATGTTCAGCTTTAGATATGTGTCGTATGGGAGTCTGAAAACTGTAATAAACTGTATTCATATCCTGGCTGCTTTGTCTGCTGATTTTGGGGGGTGGCAGACAGGAGGCAGGGGAGTCTGTTACCAAGTGAAAACACTTGTCTGAAAAGTAAAACATCTGAAGGCTTATGCATTTGCATTATTGTAACCTTGTACCTTTTCTTTACCAAAGCATACACATCTAAATCACCACTCTTGCCAGGCACAGTGGATCACGCCTGTAATCCCAGCACTTTGGGAGGCTGAGGTGGGTGGATCACCTGAGGTTGGGAGTTCAAGACCAGCCTGGCCAACATGGTGAAACACCCCGT